GGCGCGGGGAGGCGGGCGGGCGGGCGCTGCCGGGGCGAGGGGCCGCCCGCCCTGCGGGCTCGGGCGAGCGCAGCCGGCCAGGGCACCTCGCCCCGCTCGTGCCCTTTCAGGGGCTTCAAGCACTTGGCACTCCTGTTCCCCAAAACCAAGAGCGGCCCGTGGCCAATGAAGCTTGCTTACAAAGAATAGTTTCATTTTGCCTCTTCTGGACTTATTTGATATATGTCATATGAGATATGACAATATATGTCATAATGTAACTTATTAAACATTACAAATAATCTGTCCTAATATATTCCAGGCCAAGTTTTGGATAACCGGAGTCGGGCTCCTTGGCGTTTATCATCAATAACAGATTTCTTCTGGTCAATAGCAGATTTTGTGGTTCTTTTGTAAGTAGAAACTAATTCTTCAGTCACCTTAAATTTGTAATAGGTAAAAGCTACTCATTGGTATAAGTAACACAATACACCAAAACTATTTGTTTTACTCCGTAGCCCGTGTACCTAAAATAATAGTAGCTTGGTGACAGATAAAATGACTTTTATTCCATCATAGATAATATTTTCAATCACATAGCAGTGACATTCATATTTGGTTCCTCTTTTAATACCACAGCAAAAGGCATATATTTTGTTAAACTGATAATTTCTAACAGTTTGTCAAATAAGTGAAGTAAACTTTTCATAGTTTCAAATATTCAACGTTTGTGTTTACTTGAAGTTTATTGGAAGACTGTTCATTTCCGGACACTTTTTTTTTTTTTTTGCCCTGTTTCTCATGATGCAGTCCATAAATTCTGAAACTGTATTTCTAGCAATCAATTTACATAACTCCTCCTGTTTTATTTTTCAGTTTCCAGAGTATTATTCAACCAGATTTGAGAAGGAGAGGCTATACATCTTCCTCCTATACTGGATCTGATGATAGAAGAGGGTATTATTTCATATTCACACATATCTCCATCTGAACACAATGTCTTAATATATTCAATTTATGTTTGCTGTGATTTGTTTTGAATCAGGTCACATCAGGAGACTAAAAAATGTTGTATTTTCTGTGACCTTTTCTGTGAAAGTTGTTGAATACAATGTATCTAGTCTAGACGGTTGAAGTAACAGACGCTAAGTCTAACTCTCACTAATGCAATGCTTCCAAGCTGCTTGGTAAGTGATAGCCTCTCTATCACTTGAAAAGTTTGTTAAACTTACTTATACAAAAGCCTTTAACTTGCAGTATCAGTCATTGCATCTATTAGTTTATCATAGGTTATGTATGATTTGTAGAGAAACACTYTGGATATCACTTCTTTAGCTTTTGAAGCATTAGAAGTGATTTCCAAGTAGTTTATGGGAAGCACTGACTGCTGCATTTTTGTTCTAAATGGATGTTATTACATTTTTATGGAGTTAAATAGTTGTGGGGTTTTTTTGTTTTTATTTTTTTTTTCCTTTTAAGACCTCCAGGATATCCGCGCCGTAGGATGGGACGGATAAATCACTGGGGCGGCGGTCCCAGCCCRCCGCCAATGGCGGGAGGAGGATGAGGAAGGTAATTTCAGACCTGCTGCCTCCTGCTTTGAGCCTTGGGAAAGGCAGTGGCGGGAGGAGCTTCTGCATAAACTCCCCAAAGGTCCTTGCTGCCTGTGCAGGGGCATGGAGATGGATGGTGCAAAGTGTAGCATAGATTCTTGAACACAAACTGTAAATACACACGCACGTGCGCACACACACACTTGTGGCTTTTTATCTTTTTGTTGCTAAGTTAGAGTTTGATTCAGATCATTAGTAGTTGAAACTTCTTTTGCATTTCTAACACTTGAAATATAAGAAAAAGGTGCTTTTCCTTCTGTTAGTGAGAGCTGTGTAAGTCTTATATTAGAGCATAAAAGCCAGAATTGCTTCAAACRGGGGAAAGACCTTTTACAAACGCCTTTCTTACCTTGAAAATATCTTACAGTTGATTCGAACTGTGACTTCAGTGTAAGTTTTGTTCAGTAAGCTAATTCATCTAGTGGGTGTTTCATCTGATAGGSAATTTATATAGCATAGTTCCATCTACTTAAGTCAACAATTCTCTTTGGCAAGTCTCACTTAGCAAAATTCAAAATACATTTTTTAAAAATTGTTACTTGCATAGTTTTATCTCATAAGGGAAAAGTATTCTTGTCATTTCTAATGTGCCACGTCTTTTTTAATATATTTTAGGTAAATGCCTGCTGTAAGAGGCGGGCAGATGAGCGTGCACGTTTGCAAGACGAAAGGGAAGAAGAGTTGGGTGTAGGACCAAACGAGCTTGTTGTGGATGTGCACGCCTGGCTGGAAACTGCCCTGCGGAACAAGCAGGCCCATGAAGTTGTGCTGGGAACTCCCTCCTCAAGGATCCAGCRCGACTGAGACGCAGTTTTATTGATACGTGTTTCCTGTCTGTCTGAAGTCTTTGTATAGTTCCTGAACGTTTTACTGTAGCTGCGAAATAACAACTAAATTATATCTGGCTTGTGACAGCGCCGTCTTCCTGGTCACTGCCGTCCAGCGGAACAGCCCTGCAAGGGGCTGAGCCGCGAGCGGCGGCGGGGAGCGCGGCCCTCGCCGGGCCGGGCCGGAAGCGCCGCGCCGGAACCAGCGCGCCGGCCCGCCCCGCCGCCGCCGGCCCGCTTCCGCCGGCGCCGCGGCCTCCGGCGGCGCCAGCATGACGCAGGCGGAGAAGGGCGAGGCGGAGAACGGCAAGGACAAGGAGCGCGAGCGGGAGCGCGAGCAGCGCGGCGGGAAGCGGCCCATCGTGCCCGCCGCCGTGCCCGAGGCGCTGCAGGAGGTGGGAGCCGCCCGGGGCGGGGGGGGGGGGGGGGGGGGGGGGGCCGCCCGCCCCTCCACGCCGCTGCCCTCCGCTCTGCTCTCTCCGCAGCAGATACAGAGCAACTTCATCGTGGTCATCCACCCGGGCTCGGCCACGCTGCGCCTCGGCAGGGCCACCGACACGCTGCCCGTGGGGCTGCCGCACGTGCTGGCGCGGCGGCACCGGCAGCCCGGCCAGCCCGTGTACCGCGACGCGTGGCTGCTGCGCGACGGCCTCAGCGTAAGCGCCGCGGGACGGGGCGGGCAGGCGGGGGGCGGCCAGCAAGGCGCGGGAATGCAGCCCGGGAGGGCGCCCCGCTGCCCCCCAAGAGCCTCCCTCCATAGGGAGCGCTCCCCACAGCCCTCACCGGCACTGACAGCTGTCAATCAGCCAAAGCCTCGCTGAGAACCAACCCCCCTTTGAGCCTCTGGCACCCACGTCAACATTTCCGCTCCCATTCAGTACTTCTGCAGGCACACACAATATCCCAACTCACCAGACTGGAGAGCAAGTGGAGCAGCCTTTAAAATCACTCCGAATGCTTGAGCTGACTCTGACAGATATGCGCTGAAAGCTGTAATACAAACAAACAGCTTATTTAGAAAGTTGTATGTGTTCACTGTACAAACCACCAGTTTCCCACAGTCTTGTTTACATTTTGTTTGTCTAGAAGCCTGAAAGTACTGAGCAGAGACAAAATGGTCTTAAAATGGTGGACCAAGCAATATGGTCCAAAAAGATGTCAAACGGGGCAAGACGCATACCAGTGTCACCTGACCAGGTAAGTCATCCCTAACAGTTTACTAAATTGTTGATTCATACGTGGTTCACATGTTCATTCATGTGGTGTAATAGAATATTGTAAAGGATAAGAATAGTTACCTACTGCTGTATACAACAAATATGGTAGATGTGGATGTCTGCCTTAGCTCCTAAAACCCAGAGTAAAATGCAGACTTAGCTCACTTCTTCAGTCTTGTTTTTTACTTTTCCTTTCATGCATAAAAAAAGACTTATTAAATATTTCTCAGTAACATTTGACCTAATTACATTTCAGGCTAGGTCATACAACAGGCAGATGCGGCCAGCTATTTTAGATCACAGCTCTGGGGCCAAGTGGACAAACACATCAAATCATCCGGAATATTTGGTAGGAGAAGAGGTAAGATGCATGCTGAAATGAGGCTTAACGTTAAGTTTTAATGCAGCTATTTAATCACTAGCGATTTGGTACATGGTAGCAGCCATAGGATATAGTTGCTATAAATGAGCTTTTGTGCAGGGACTCATGGAGAACTTTRCATATATGGTACAACTGAGGGAAAGGCCAAGAAGCCCTGAAATAAAGATCAGCATAAGAATCACTGCATTCCTCAGCTTCAAAGAATTTTTGAACTATTTTACTTACTCATTTGAGATGATGCAAAAATATACTGGTATGTCCACAGTAGATATCTATGGATGTGAAAAGTTTTAAACTATGTTTTTTGATGTCTTTTAAAAAATGTTTTATAATCCAGCCCCATTATAAATAAATGTGTGTTTTATCATCAGTCAGAGTGCTGCTACACTCCTTGTTCCCTCTACTTCTGAAATTATTTTCTAGTATTGGTTATTAACCTTTTGGGAAAGGCAATGTAGAGTGGTTTTCTCTCTCTCTCTCTCTCTCTCTCTCTCTCATTTTCAGGCACTATATGTTAATCCACTGGATTCTTACAATATTCACTGGCCTATTAGAAGAGGGCAGTTGAATCTCCACTCAGGACCTGGTGGCTCCCTCACTGCGGTATTAGCAGATCTTGAAGTTATATGGTCACATGCAATACAAAAATACCTGGAAATACCATTGAAAGACCTAAAGGTGAGCTGCCCTTTGTTAACTCCAAAGGAGGGGACAGAGGAATACATGCCTAGCACTTGCATCATTTTTCTTCCATGATATGTGTGTGCTCATCTCCTATCTGATACACATTTAAACATTTTAACAGCCTAGAAATTCTTAACTTGGTACTTAACCCTGAACTGATTTTTAAATCATTGAAAATGCTCTTCCCATAAATTCTGCTTCTTTTTTTAGCACCTTTCATATTATGTTTTATTGTCTGGCATGTCTTTGCATGTCAATCATGTAAAGAAAAATCTAATTTGAGAGCTGGCATTAATTCATTGTTCTTATCTCCAGTATTACAGATGCATTTTACTAATTCCAGATATATATAATAAACAACATGTGAAAGAACTGGTAAATATGATCCTAATGAAGATGGGCTTCTCAGGTACAACCTACAATGAAATMATTTAATGGCTAACATATAGCATAAAAGATTTCTTTTTCTTCCTCTAAATTACATTTATGTGGGCCAGTCCTAGTCTGCTGTTCTAACATTAGCACCTTTCATCTTTCACTGTCCTTAAAACTTGTCTTTTTCAGCTGGGGAAAAAGACTAGTGTTAAAGCAAGTTCTCCCTTCGCTACTAGATACTCCAACTGTGGGCTTCTCCTTTTAGCTCAGATTAAAATTMTGTAGCAACAGACAAGTATAATAAGCTAAACAATAGAAAATATTCTAAGTGTAAATTAATTACCAGTGCTTGAGAGTACAACTGCTGTCTTTTAATAATTACTTACAACTGTTAATAATAGTACGTAAACTTTCAGAGCAGAGTTAGACTATTCGTAATCTTTAAAAGATACTAAGATGTCAGAACATGTCAGAAACATGACTTAGGTTGAGCATTAACTGAAGATAATTTTTTCCCCCCTTCCCTGTCTTGCTAGGAATTGTGGTACATCAGGAGTCTGTGTGTGCTACTTTTGGAAGTGGTTTAAGCAGTGCATGTATAGTAGATGTGGGAGATCAGAAGACGAGTGTTTGCTGTGTGGAAGATGGTGTTTCACATCGCAACACCAGGTATCTTAATGTCTTATAATAAGTCCATGCTTAGTTACTTATGCAAAAATTTTACTGTAAAAATGAAGTATTTTATAAATTTTTTTGATTTGTATAACATACGTGATCATGTCACAGCAACATGAACCTTAACAAAAACAAAGCAAAAAACCGCACACACAACACAAACTTTTGCCAACTTCAAGAGAAGAAAAATGCAGAACTGACTCTCTACTCTGCAAAGTACATGGAAGTCATGATCACTGCATTCAAAATATTTCTTGTTTTCCTAGGTATGCTAGTGTAGAAGGCTAGGATCAAAAAAAGCAGCAAGCTGACTTTTTCTTCTCCTTGCTTTAGGCTGTGCCTTGCATAYGGAGGATCTGATGTATCAAGGTGTTTTTACTGGCTTATGCAACGAGCTGGGTTCCCATATAGAGACTGTCAGCTGACTAATAAGTTGGATTGCCTGCTGCTTCAGCACTTAAAGGAAACATTCTGTCATCTAGACCAGGTGACAAGGGAATATGGTGTTTTCTCCAAGTAAATTTTTCTCATCCCCTATGAAATGCTACTCTGAGGAGTCTGTGAGTTTCAAAATCTCTTGTGGTTCATGGTTAAATAAAATCATTGCAACTTATGCAGTGGTTTAGAGATGTGTGAGGTGAATATGCACAAGACTTGATGATGTCTTTTGTATGGTACAGTTTATTTTTAAGTATAATTTCCCCATACAGGCCTCTRATGGGTATATTTAATTACTAGATTGTAGTCAATTGCAGGAAATAGATTTCAAAAGCATACAAAACATCATTTACTTAATTGAAATAGACTTGAGCTAGTGGGGGTTGGAGAAGGCTTAAGGTATTTTTGTTTGTCTACCTTAGAAATAAAGTAGGTTTGCGAGGGTTTTTGTTTGTTTTGTTGTTGTTCTTTATAGCAGCAACAACATAATCTGCTGTTCAATCCAGCAGATTATCTGCCAGCAGGTCTGCTCTTTCCACACAAGAATTTATTGTAGAGCATTTCGCATGTAGAGAGCTGTTCTGGCAGATCATACTACAAGAGAAAACAGCTTCAAAAATTTCAAGATAGATATATGAAATATAGAGTCTAAAGAATATTTTTACGTTTTAGCTTGTTGCACATGTTGCCACCACATTAAACAGGTTAACCAGTCTGATAAAATGTTATAAAATATCTCACTTTTTACTTTTTAACCTCAGGATATTTCTGGACTGCAAGACCACGAGTTCCAAATTCGTCATCCAGATTCACCAGCTTTATTATACCAGTTCCGGTTAGGGGATGAAAAATTACAGGTAACCTCCCTTTCCTTCAAGGCGGGGAAGCGGGAAGAGGGGGAAGCCTTCAAAATTCATAGGTTGTCTGTAAACTTTTTGGATGATGATATTGAAATTAATTACAGTAAATAAAAATGTGCCTAACTGTATTACTTATGCACTAGCAGATGCATGAGACTTTCTAACTAGTCTTAGTTAAAAATGACAAAAATTTAGTTCAAAATTTTTGTCTTTGAAGTATAAGAAATGAATGCAGATCTTGCAAGTTTTTCCACATCTGAGTTCTTTTAATTTTTTAACAGATTATATTTGTGTATTTGTTCATTATTAAAAACTATAACCTGTAAAGAGACCTATAAGAATGTACAAGTGTTTGTTGTACTTAAGTAAACTACATGAATCTGGCACTCTTTACCTTATTATAAACCTCATAGAAAAAAGTACACTTAATTGAGTTGTTAGAACAAGTGGTGATAAGTAGTAAGTGATAAAMAGGAAAAACTGTTCAGTACAGTGAAACCAAATCTCTTATTCTTCAGGCTCCAATGGCTCTGTTTTATCCAGCAACTTTTGGAATTGTGGGACAAAAAATGACAACTCTACAACACAGATCTCAAGGTGATCCTGAGGATCCTCATGATGAGCATTATCTCTTAGCTACACAGAGTAAGCAGGAGCAGGTGTGCAAAATGCTTGTTTTGGTTTTCACRAAGTGTTATTTAACTGCAAAATGCAAACAAAACTATCTCATCTCTGAAAATGAAGTTTGTCAACAATGAGGAGTAAATTTACATTGCAGATATCTAGAAAAAAAAGTCCTTAATTCTCAGAGTCTAAGATGCATTTCAAAATAGAACCCTTACTTTCAAAGTGGGATTTAAATTAAAAATAGATGGTAGTGCAAGTAGCAATACACTGTTAAGCATTTCTCTTCAGTAACGTAAAGAGTGCTTATTAAGACTTAACTTTTGTAACCTGCTGTAGTTTAAAAATCAACTTCTTTTCCTATTTTTAAGTCTTCAAAAGCTACAGCTGATAGAAAATCTATGTCCAAGCCTGGTGGACTCGAGGGAGACTTGCGAGGCCCAGCCTCAGACATTTCAGAGAGGATCTACCCTCAAGAAGTGGAGCTGGGATCTTCCCAGGGTGATTGTATGATGCCTGGAAATGACTCGGAGGAACCTGTAACTGCGCACATGTCCAGGAAAACAGCTATCTCCCAGTTTGAAGGCAAAGCCCTAGGCCTTGACAAAGCCATTCTTCATAGTATTGACTGCTGTGGTAAGAATCCTATTTTGTATAAGCCTGTAAAATATATAATAGTCAGAGTAGCGCCCTATACTTTACCAAAGTAATATCTTAGTTGTATTTTGCATATTATCTATTCTGTGTTTGTTGTATTTGAGTTTTGGTAGAGTTTCTTTAGCTAGATCTTTTGAAGCCTGAGGAATAGACAAAGAATTTTAAGAGCAGATGGTTCTWCATTTCTGTGTGGTTGGACCTGTAATCTGCGTAAGTAAAGTATAAGCCTGATTACTATAAATTATATTTTTTTGTATCAATTATATTCCAGCATCTGATGATACAAAAAAGAAGATGTACAGCTCCATTCTAGTAGTAGGAGGAGGCCTTATGTTTCATAAAGCTCAAGAGTTTCTTCAACACCGAATTCTCAACAAAATGCCACCTTCTTTCAGAAGAGTTGTTGAAAATGTTGAAGTTATTACAAGACCTAAGGTACATCATTAACTAAGAGATAAATAGTCGAGTTAGTAAGTTATGATTGGTCTAGAGCTTTACAAAATTGTKTTACTTCTTTCCCCACCCCCCTCCGTAAGGCGAGAGATAGTGTGGATTAAAACCAGCAAGTTTAATTTGCCAGTTATCAGTTGAATTTGTAAAATTAAAATCCAACTATTTTTCAAACTTGGAAGAGCATTTTTCATGTAGGCCTGTAAGACATGGTATGAAAACCAGTGACTCCTCAAAAGATATTAAATAGTCTTTCCCTATATTTATCATTTTATCTTGGAAGAGTCTTAAGTTTAGGAAATGTTGTCTTTTCCATTGTTTCCTGGACTGCCAAAGGTCCACACAGCAGTGAATCCTGGGGGAATAAATAGGATTGAGGGTATGAGAAATAAAATGATTGATGATTTTTTTTTATTATTATTTTGAATTTAGGACATGGATCCTCGCTTAATTGCGTGGAAAGGGGGTGCAGTTTTGGCCTGTCTTGATACAACTCAGGAGCTGTGGATTTACCAGCGAGAATGGCAGCGCTTCGGTGTCAGAATGCTGCGAGAGCGAGCTGCATTTGTGTGGTAATTCATGCTTACAACATAGCATGGCTGACTAAACATTCCTTTCCCAAAATTTCCACTTTTTTCCCCCAGTGCAGAGGTATTGATCATCTGTTGATGKGTGTTTTTGTATTTTACTGAAACTTAAGTCTTGAGATTTTTTCTGAAGCAGTGCAAAAATCCCATCCAGTGAGAAGATGTTACACTGAACATTGCTATACTCCRACTTTTAAATTGTATGCATTTAAAGCTCATTGTATAGTGTCACAGTCCTCTCCAGATTCACTATGATAAGCTATGATACAGCTTTTTTTGTGTATTGAAATTGCACAACACGAGTATTTGATATATCAAGTACTCAAGTGGCAGATGTTAAGTCAGGATTCATTCTGGATGAACATAGGCACCACAGAAGCGAGAGCTGCAGGCTGCACTCTATGGACTTCTAAAATAAATTTATTATGCATTTTTAAAAAAAGGGAAAAGCTTGAACGACGTATTTTTCCTTGCCTGTTGTTACCCTCGAGAACTCTGATAATTTCTCACCCTCCAGCTTTCTCACTATTTAAAACACACCATATGGCACATCCAAAATACAGCACACGGATTCCAACACTATGACATGAGCATACCAGCATTTGCCCCCTAGCAGTAATCTTCAGTTACAAAAGGGGTCAAAGACCCAGGATAAGAAAGGGTAAGATAAGTCTTTGATAAGACAAGCCTAAGGCAGCATAGCCAGTTTCTGTAAAGTAACAAGCCCATGAACAACCCCAAGTGGTAACCTGCAGGAGTTGYTTAAACAAGCTAGGAAACTCCTCCATCACTGCAGTGTTCAAAGCAGGAATACAGCCAGATTTTTTTACACAAGATGTCAGCTCCTAACTGCTGACGTAAACTGCTTCTGTCTGCTTCATAAAACTTTTGGTGATTGGCTGTTTTTAAACAAACAATTCACTCAAAGAAAGCTATTAGATAAGAGAAAGGAAGATACAGAAGAGCTAGTGGAAGATTCCTAGGATCGCTGGCAGGTAACAATTCTTAAATCAGGAAATACCTATTTGAGCAGTCAATTCTAATAACTATTTCTAATTGCCTTTACAATGGATGCTTTTAATTATTTAGTTGATAGATTTTATAATGAAACTAAAATTAACAAGTTTTCAAAAAGTTTAAAAATTGATTTTTCTAATACCTATAACAATATTCAAAGTTACACAAAGTTTAGCTTCAGTGACACTTTTTCATGCCATTTTCCATTTGTTGTAAAGATATTCGTATTTTGGAAATCTGTAGCTCATGTGAGTATTTAAAAGCACCATCAGAAGATACCACATGTAGAAGTAAGGCACTGCATTTGTAGAATTCTCAGTTTGCTTTCCAGTTACATTTTATATACATTTTCTTGATACAGAAAACATGGCATTCGAGAAAATAGGGTGAATTAATTCTTGTAGTTCATTGCTATTAGGAGCAAACTATGGAACTTGTATCTTTGTTTAAGAGACCTCAATACCTTCATAGATTAACTTTTGGCTTTTCCAACTCATCTTTCCCCCCCCCAATAAAAGCTTAAAGCAAAAAGGCTAGCTAGAAAGAATGTCAACATTTTTAGTTATGATTTACGTAAAGTGAAAAAAAAAATAGGCACCATATCATTTTTCAAGACTGTCTTGAATCTGCACATACCAAATGAATCTATAAATATTTCATTGAGATTAGTATTGAACTTCTACTGGCCAGCTATAGGAACATAGCAAGTGGGAAGCATCTACCTGGATKCTAGCACTTCCTTAATGCATGTAACTGCTGCTTTGCATATTTAAACAGTAACAGACACTCATAGCAGTTGGTGCTCACTACTTTTAAACAGGATGTTAATATTTAACAATCAGGAAACGTTGAAATTGTTCATTATCTAAGACATTCTAAAGTAGAAATTAGTGCACATTACTAAAAAATACAGCAAAATAAGGGCAAAATATGTTAAAGAAAACTCTGAACACAGACTAAGCTCAGTGTACCTCTATAGCTAATAAAGCAAGCACAGTTTTTACACATGCTACTTCATTCAGAGCTTGTGTAGCTTTTATTCTGGTAACAATGGTAACAATAAYATTGCTACTATTGTAATGTAAGGTAATGAACAACAATAGTAACAATGATACTGTCCTGCCTTTACTCAACTTAAAGAATAGGTGAGTTCACATGCTGAAGTTTTGTGGTCATCATTTTTCTTGAAAATAGATGAACGAAGGTCAGAACTACCCTCAGTTTTCTTCCCCCCCCAAAACATGCAAACTTGTTTGTTTTTCTTGTAGCTGTGCCCATTTAAGGTATTTCTACAGATCAACATACCATTTCTATGACGTATCAGGGCAGAACTCTTCCAGATAGTCAATTTTGCTTCCAGATAGTCATTTTGCCGCAGGAAACCTATCATAACTATTCATAATTGCTAGTATCATCATAGTGCTAGAGAGCTCCAGTTAGGGAGCAGGACCTCAGAGTCAGTGCTATGCAGGTCTTGACAAAAAAATAAAATAAAAAAAAACACACACTAACACAACCACCCTGGCTTCATTAAAATAAATGGCTAACTCTTGAAAATGTATTAAACATATATGCACTCTATGCATTTTCTATTGTTAATTACTTACTAAAAGCCTTGAATACACATTACAAATTCTGGGAACACCTATCATCTTAGTTTCAAGCACTGTTGATCACCACACATTAAAGACCWGTTAAAAATCTCTTATCCTTTGACTACACATTTACCGATTGTTCCATGCAGCACAAGGACTGCAATGACTGTGCGGAAGTTTACAATTAGGTGCTCAATTCTCCTTAATAACCAAACATTTAGTTACCATCCCTTCTTTTTCTGCTTATTCAAGTGCTACCAAGCAATCAGGGAAAAAAAAAACCCAAAATAATCATCCAATGTATTTGCAACATAGCCACAAGGACTGAATTGGGAGAATAACCATCATCTATGAACCATAACAAGGTAACAAAAAATATCATCCCAAGAGCTGCAGAGAAAGCTGAACTCTGTTTTGAGATCATTTTCTCTGTYGGTCTTCATTGCATCTGAGGCCACACTCGAGCAGCCCAGAAGAGCAGCTGCACCCAAAATTAAGAAAGAGTTCAAATAATCGGTAGGCGCTAGGAAAGACCAGTATCCAAACCAAACAAAGTGGTGTCCATGGGATTATAAAGCGGGTGCCCTGTCACGCTACATCTTACATGAAACATCCCAACACCTTCCCCGCCGCCTAACGTTTTCACTGAGGACAAATTAAAAATAAAATAAAAACCACCACCAAAAGCAAGACAACCAAGCCGGGCTGTCTCGCGGCCGCCCGTCCCCAGCCCCGCACGACCCGCGGCCCCCGGAGTGACGGTTTTTAACGGTCCCGCGCCCCGCCCCAACGGCCGCTCCGCCCCAGCGGCCGCGGGGGTCGCCCGGCGGCGCGGCCGGGGCGGGCAGGGGGGGCCCCGCACTTTGCCCGTCTTGCGAAACGGCCCGAGGAGCGGAGCGGAGCGCGGGCCGCGCCGGGACGAGCCCTGAGCTCGCGGGCAGCTGCGGGACGCGGCCGGGCCGAGC